AAAAAAAAAAAAAAAAGAGTAGAGACCTGGGTTTGGCCTCAGGGGTGAGTCACCAGGCCCAGCCTGTGATGTTTTGACTATGGGTGGGTCTGTGGCTACTGCTGGGGGTTTAGGGGGTGTCTCTCTACAGGGCTGAGGCTTTCTCCAGGCTGTGACTCTGTTTGTGTCCTCAAAGGCACACATGTACTAATGGCTGAGTGCTGCCAGAGGACGAGGACTCTGGGGCTGGAGGTGCTTCTGGCAGCCAGCCCAAGTGTCCTTTCCACTGTGTGTCTGTGAGGTGGTGTATTCCTTAAGTGTGACAGCGTCTGTACTCTGCAGGCTCTAACTGTGGAGGCATTCCGAGTGGGCAATGGACAGCTCTCAGGTGTGCCCCTGGGGAGAGGTCAGGGCTGTGTTTCCAGTTCAAGTGTCTCGCTGGGTGAGTGGAGCCGACACTCCTCTGGGTGTGCCTCTGAGGGCAGGGTCTATGTCTCTCCCACTATTGTATTCTCAACCTCAAGGACGATGCCTGGTAGAGAGGAAACCTCAACACACATTTGGCAGACGAGAATCTCCATAACAGAGTTCTGGAGAGTTTCAGAGGATGTGCTCCTCCCAGAAGACCCTTGAGCTTCCTCCCTTCCTCCCAAGTATCTGTGTGTGAAGGATGACGTTTCTGCGTGTGACTGCTGCAGTCCATTGTGCTTCCAGTGTGTTTGTGTCTCCTCCTGGGTGTTGTGTTTATGCACATGTGAGTGTGAGCCAGTTTTCTCTCTGGGTTTGTTGTCTACAACTGTCTTTCTGGTTATCATCTCTCTGGTGAGTGTCTGAATTCCAGAAGAGGGGTCTGTTTTCCTTTGGGTGTCTCTGCAAATGTGTGTATGTTGTGAGATTAAGTCTCAGTAAGGGGGTCTGTTTCTTGTCTCTCTGGGTGTTGGTCTGAGTGACAAGGACAGCCTATAGGTGTGAGTTTGTCCCTACACCTTATGTTATGTTTCTGAGGGGTCTCTGCTCCTGCCCAAAGGGACCAATATTCCATGCTGCATGGACAGTTGCCCTGGGATGGTGTTTCTAAGAATTGTTTAGTCAAGGTATGTGTGACATCTCTTGGGCTCTGATTGGGTGTCACCTGGCTTTGTTTAGTCCATCTTGGCCAGTGCCGCTGCACTCCTGGGTATATATCTGAGTGAGTGGGTTTGAGCATGTGGGGTTCTGAGGCATCTAAGAGAATTTCCCAGCCTAGAGTGTGTCTCTGTGGATGCAGGTCCTGCCTGCTGTGGCACTAACCTGAGGGGTCTCTGGCCCCAGCTCCAGGGTATATGTGTCTCTATTTCTAGGCACATGAGCCTATAATAGGTATGTGGGGCCTGGCTGTGTTTCTGAATGGGGGCCAGGGAGCTGTGTGTGTTCATGAGCATGGGTATGTGTGAGAGACTTTGTGGATACGTGTCGGTCACAAGCCTGTGACAGCTTCCCTGATCTCTTGCTGAAGACCCTTCCCAGGCCATAAGCTCCAGACTCTACTGCCCACGCCTACCTGTCACCCCAAATCTAGACCCCAACTTGAGGCATGAGGGAAAAGCTAAACCGTCCTCCCCCACGAGGCGGGTCTGATCTTTCCCCAGGTCGGCGGCACAGTCCCCCCCCCATGCAGCCCCCAAACTTGAAGGAACTGGGCAGCAGGCCAGGGTTTTCACATGCAGATCCCAAGACCTCCTTACCTCGGACAAAAACGATCTGCTCAGCGCGGCCTGTGCCTACAGCATTGGTGACCGTGCAGATAAAGGTAGTGTTGACCAGTGTGTCCACTGAGTGGATGATCAGCTGGGGGCCCTGGGCCACTGCTGAGGCTGGGAAGACACCTGAAGTCCTGGAGGGGTGTGAGGTCAGATGAGGGGAATGTTAGGTTGACAGTGAGCACAGGTCTGGTTCCTGATAACACACCCCTTAGGAGCCACACTCTAGGGACCTAACTTACCCCTGGAGACCCCAAACTCCCAGACTGCAAACTCCCTCCGTCCTGGGCTCAGAAGTTCAGGCCCCCAGGCAGGACCTCCTTCTTCAGATGCAGGGGTCTAGCTGTAGCCCTTCCTCTCTTAGATCAGGAGTCTGGACCCCCAACCCCTCCTCCCTCAGACCCAGGGGTCCAGACCCCAGCCCCTCCTCCCTCAGATGCAGGAGTCTGGGTCCACAGGACTCACGTGCTCCAGTCATAGCCCGTGGGTGCTGGGTTGCTGCGGACATCGCAGTTTAGGGTGGCCTCACCACGGCCAATGTACCAGTTGTCATCATAACCAGAGATGGAGACCTCAGGTGGATCTGGGGGAAGTGAGGTGAGGATTGGTTTAGCAAGGGGAGAATCTCAGACAATCAGAAGCTTAAAGAAATGGAAGGTGGTGCCTGTGGCTCAAAGGAATAGGGCGCCAGCCTCATATACTGGAGGTGGTGGGTTCAAACCTGACCCTGGCCAAAAACTGAAAAAAAAAAAAAAAAGAAAGAAATGGGGTGGGCTGGCAAGAGGTGGCCTAGGCTGAAGCCTGTATAGACATTGTCCTGGGAAATCACTATGGATAATTTAGAGGGAGTTATCATTCACGCAGACAGTGCCTGAGGGAGCCAGTGCAGATAAATCACACAGACAATGCTCAAGACATCTGTATGAGGGATACTGCCTGCAGCAGGCAGCAGCTAGTGTATACTGGGCTTGGGGAATCTGGGCACACAAAGGTCCTGCCTGGGGAGCTAGTGCAGACCACACTGAGCTAGGGTACGACAGTTAGGACAGTGACAGGAGAGCTGGCTATATTTGACAGGCAGGTAAAGAGTGCTGGGGACGGTCTCTGTGGGTAACATTAGGGGGTTGCCAGTATAAACATATTCTGGAACCAACAGGGTCCAGAGGGACCAATGTCAATAATATTGTGGAACAGGGATTGATGTAGAAACCCCAGGAGAGTCAGTACTGTCAGTGTCCAGGAAAGCGTATTTAGACAGTATGGGAAAGTGTGTAGACAATGTTAGGTTGGGCAGTGTAGACTATGGCCCAGGTGGTTGACATAGACAGTTAGGGAACAGCATCAACCAGGGGACATGGAAGCCAGAAAACACAGTGTTGGGGATAGCTGTTGGCTGGTAAACCAGTTCCATGGGGAAGAAAAAATCCCTAAATTGTAGTGTTTGCCAATTTCCTTGGTGTAAATATTCCACCATGATTAATTTCAAATGACCAACAAGACTTTACTGGATGTAGAGTTGGAAAGAAATGTACACAGTTAGCTCTTGCAAGCCCATCCCAGCTTATCACAGATTGGGAGCAGCATGGCAAGAGCCCAGTGCAGCCAGAGTAGACAATGAGGGGAAGTATGTAGATGTTGCCTGCAGATGCCAGTGTAGACAATGGGCAGGAAGGCAGGGAAGAATTTGGCCCAAGGGAACCAATATAGACAGTATTCAGGTACACTGTAAACAGTGCGCCAGAGAAGTCAGTGTAGGCAGAATTGGTGGGGGTGGGGTCACCTCCTGGTGCACTCACAGCGCACGGAAAGGATCACAGGCAGTAGGACTGGCTCCTTGAAGCTCTCATGTTCCACTTTGCAGGTGATCTTGGCACCATCTGCTTGGCCCAAGGGTGCCAAGGTGAAGCGGCTGGTGACGGTGACTGTGCCAGGCTGGGGTCCTGGCCCCTGACTCTCTCTGGCCTCCCCATCCAGGGGCGACAACCAGGAGATTCGGGCAGGGGGGCGGCCTCCTGTGGAGACGCAGCGAGCCACAGGTACGGGGTCTAGGCTGAGCGTGACTTCCTGTGCCTCAGCGTGGTTCTGGGGCTCGGCTGGGGAGAGGATCAGAGAGAGTGTGTCACTCCTTGCCTGTGATCATGCAGCAAATATCTTGGCAGCGGAGCAGAGCAGTTAGGCCCCAATTGCCTGGGTGGAAATCCCAGCTCTGCTGCTTAGAGGTTGGGTGGCTCTAAGCAAGTCATTTTGTAACTCTGTACCTCAGTTTCCTCTTTTGCAAAGTGGGGATAATAAAAGTTCCCAACCCATAGGATTACTGTATGGATTAAATAAATTGATATATAAATATAAAATGAGTAGGCCAGGCGTGATGGCTCACACCTGCAATCCTAGCACTTTGGGAGGCCGAGGCAGGAGGATGACTAGAGGCAACATAGAGAGACCCTGTCTCTATTAAATAAATTAAACAAATGCAAAAAAAAAAAAAAAAAAAACAGGCCAAAGCTGAATAATGTGGTTCAAAGGACCAGCTGAACAAGAGGCCCCTGCTTCTTTTCCTGTAATCACCATTAGATTGTGTTACCGGAAGTGTGATAAAGGTGACAGAGATTAGCAAAGTTGGTCTTTTGCCCTTTTCACCCCATCCTCCAAGAAAACATGGAAAAATATTAGGGGTAAAAAAACGAAAACAGACCTCCAAGAGGAAGAGCAACTCACATGTACAGCTGTGTGTCCCTAACCCAGACTGTCCCTTGAGCTCCCAGAGTGGAGGTTCCAGTTGCCTTCTGGATCTGTCCTCTGCATATCTCCTGAGCATCTCCTCCACATAGTATGACCTTCTTCCTCTCCTTGTCCACCAACATCTTCCCTGACCACTCCTGAGCATCCCAAAGGCCTGTCTGCAGGAACCCCACCCCGCGACCTTCCCAGCTGTCCCCAGTGAGAATGATGTTCCAGAGCTGAAGCCCACCACTTCCCTTCGGGTGCCTCTAAGCACTTCCATCCCTGCTCCCACTTAATTTGGGGTCTGAGTGACTGTGCCTGGGGTTTCCAGCCTCCTTCAGACCCTGCCCAAGCCTCTCTTCATCAATGGCACTGCCTTGACCTTGGTCTGGTCTCCCCCTGTTAGTGGCTCACCCATCATGAAGGCAGAGGCTTGGCCATTTTATTCTCTGCTCCTACCCCAGTGCCTAGGAGGCCTGGTGTGTAGTAGATGTCCTTAAACTCTCTTGAACAGGACAAATGACTGCACAGGAGAGACTTTGTGAGGGGAGGGGAGAAGAGCTGTGCTTTGCTTTATGGAAAACAACTGTGGGCCAGATGCGGTGGCTCATGGATATAATCCTAGCACTCTGGGAGGCTGAGGCAGGGGGGTTTGAGACCAGCCTGAGTAAAAGTGATACCCCGTCTTCCCTGTATCTTCCTCATTTAACCAAGTGGCCATTCTAGTCATCCTTCTACTAAAGCCCGAAAGCTGGAGGTCCTTTCTGATCCTGATCCTCTTTCCTCCCAACCCACGGAAAAGCCCATGGCCTACTATCTCCTAAAGCATCTCTATACCACCCACTTACCCCTGCCATGTCCCTCTTCTTCTTTTTTTTTTTTTTCTTTTTCTTCCATGTCCCTCTTCTAAGCCAGTGTCTTCCCTCACCTAGAATGCCTGCTTCGTCCTGTGTCCACCCTCCGGTGGCTCCTCACATAGCTGCCAGTCATCTTTTTATAATGCCAACAATCAGACCAGGTGCCTCATGTGGGCTGACACCTCTGTGGCTCCTAAAGGTGCTGTGATTCAAATCCAACCTCCTTTCCTCCACCTGTGAGGGCTACATTGGGGACTACTCAGCCCCTGCCTATTCTCACCAGTCTCCTTTCCATTCCTGGGGCACGCCACCCTCATGCCCATCACCCAGCTGTACTGTCCCCTCTGCGTACAGATGGCTCCTTCTTACCCTTCTAGACTTGACTGAGACCTTCCCTGGCCATTCTATCTACATTAGGTCACTAGGACACTTACTTTTTAGCCATTACCTCCTGCCCAGACTTCTGCAGTTGCTTCCCTGTGGTCTCCTGGCTTCCACGCTCACCCTGGTCTCTCCCACCACCCCCCCCCCCAACTGGCAGGAGCCTGTGAAAACTCAAGCCAGGTTACATCTCTCTGTTGCTCAGAACCTTCCATGGCTCTCACTTTCCCAGGACAAAAGCCAAAGTCTTCACGTTGTCCAAGGAGTTGACATGATCTGCTCCCCATCACCTCTTCAATATCTGCAGGGCCCCCTCCCCTCCTTCCAGTTTTGGTTCAAGTATCACCAGACCCCCTGCTAAAACTGCAACCTGCCCCCTCCTACTTGTATACCACCTATAACTGCCTGACTTACTCCTTTATTTTTCTTATGTATTTTCTCTCTCATGTCCCCTTACTGCAATGAAAGTCCCAGAAAGGCAGGGAGTTCTTACTGCCCCTTCCCTGGATCAGGGCCTGGCACACAGTAGATGCCCAGTAAATACCTGTTAAAAGAACACCCTCATGGGCGGCACCTGTGGCTCACTGGGTAAGGCGCCAGCCCCATTTACCGAGGTTGGTGGATTCAAACCTAGCCTGGCTAGCTAAAACAGCAATGAGAATTGCAACAAAAAATAGCCGGGCGTTGTGGCGGGCACCTGTAGTCCCAGCTACTTGGGAGGCTGAGGCAAGAGAACCACTTAAGCCCAAGAGTTAGAGGTTGCTGTGAGCTGTGATGCCATGGCACTCTACCCAGGGTGACAAAGTGAGACTCTGTCTCAAAAAAAAAAAAAAAAAAAAAAAAAAAAAAAAAAAAGGAACACCCTATTGCCTGCTGTGTCCCCAGCACATAGAAGAGCATCTGGCATGCGGTAGGTGCTTAATGAACATTTGCCGACTGACTGAAAGACCACAGAGAAGGTCGACCTCATAGCTGAAGCTGGGAGAGACACAGACCCACAACGGGGCGCTCCCACATTGTACCCCGGGCTGCTCACCTATGGCTCTGAGCCAGGTCACCCCATTAAGTGAGCCCTTAGGGAAGGTGGCAAATTCACAGGTGTAGTTGCCTTCATCCTCTACTGTCAGCCCCTGGAGAGCCAGCGTAGCGTCCCGAAGCTCCATCTTGGTGCCTTGCCCATTCCTGGTGTTCTGCCCAGCGGCAACAAAGGACAGCCGCTCACTGCCTGGCTGTGGGCTGGGGAAACTGGCACCAAACTTAGGGTGGAAGGTGGCCACATTCTGGCTGACTCCAGCTGCATCCAGACGCTGCCAAATCACCAGTGAAACTTCCACTTTGGGGGTGGGTGGCAGCAGGTGGCATGGAAGCTCGACAGTGCTCCCCACAAAGCCTAGTACCTCAGGTGGCACTTGAACATCCTGGGCTCCTGGAGAGAGGAAAGAGAAAGGTCAGGTGGGGGAAAGATCCAGAGACCTCTAGGCCAGGCAGGACCATCACCCAAATGCAATGCAGGCATCTTTACAGGATCCTAATTCCAAATAGCACTTTGGGGCTGAGTTAGGTGGCTCATACCTACAATCCTTGTACTTTGGGAGACCAGGAGTTCAAGACCAGTCTGTACAAGAGCAAGACCCGGTCTCTACTAAAAATAGAAAAACTAGCCTGATGTTATGGTGGGTGCCTGTAGTCCCAGCTACTTGGGAGGCTAAGGCAAGAGAATCTCTTGAGCCCCAGGTGTGCTGTGAGATAGGCTGGTGCCATGGCACTCTACCCATGGTGACAGTGAGACTCTGCCCCCCATAAGACAAAATACCTTGTGTTTTCAAGGTTTATCCCTTTATAGCATGTACTAGGGCTTCCTCCCTCTTTAAGCCTGAATAATATTCCACTGCAGGGATGGACCACATTTTGTTTATCCTTCAAACGCTGAGGGACATTTGGGTTGTTTCCACTTCTTGGCTCTGATGAATAAAGGTGCTACATGTTTTTGTGTGAATGTACATCCACTTGTTCTTTGTTTTTCTCATTTTTAATAATTAAAACAGGATCAAGGATGAATGTTTCTCTGCTGTGTAAGGCAGCACAGACTTCAGGGGTTCAAATCCTGGCCCTGCCCCAGCCTGGCTGTGTGACCTTGCACAAGTCACTTAACTGGTCTGTGTATGCTTTCCCCAGCTGTAAAATGAGGATAATAACAGAGCTCACTTCCCTAGGGCTGTTAAAAGAATTAAAGAATATTTGTAGAGCATTTAGCAAAGGGCCACAGGAAATGTGAGATGAGTGCTTATTAAGTAAACACATGAGGTCAGTATAATTACAAGTGGACCCTGACACTCAGCCTCGAGGTGAGGAACAACCAAGGGTCAAGCCCACACCTCATCTCAAGGGCACTGCTGCCCAGCTCTGTTTGACGGAGACAGTAGGGGTGGGGACTGTGTATGGGCCCCTGGCCTCACATACACAGGAAACCAGGGAACATTACCAGGTGACCATCTAATGAAGCATCTCCGGTAGAAGGCAATCCCTTGGGTGGGGATGGTCCGTGGGTGAGAAGCCATCAGTGAAGGCCCAAGTGTGACACATCACCTCCACACAAGTCCCACAACTCATCATACCTAAGTGTGCCACTTTGGGGGAAAATGAGGCTTTTGCCCGCTGGAGAGCCTGCCACACAAAGAGTGATGAACCCCTGCTGGCTCTGTCCCTTGAGGAAAGAAAAATAGCTCACAGCAGTCTGAGCTATGCAAAATTTATCAGGTCCAGAGAGGCAGAGGTATGGGACTTCCATTCAGCAAACCAACCCCCCACCAATGCTAGGGGCAACTGGTTAAAGGCATTTTTATTCCTGACTAGCTGCCTCAGCCATTATTTTTAGTTTCCTAGAATTTGTGAAACAAATAGCCAATCAAGGCTTGGCGTCTGTGGCTCAGTGAGTAGGGCGCTGTCCACATACACCAGAGGTGGCAGGTTTGAGCCTGGCCTGGGCCTGCTAAACAACAATGCCAACTGCAACAACAAGAACAACAAAATTAGCTGAGTGCTGTGGCAGGTGCCTGTAGTCCTAGCTACATTTTTAATAATTAAAACTGGCTGAGGCAAGAGAATCACTTAAGCCCAAGAGATGGAGGTTGCTGTGAGCTGTGATGCCATAGCACTCTACCAAGGGTGACATAGTGAGACTCTGCCTGACAAAAAAAAGAAGCCAATCAATAGCTTATGTTATTCTGGCTGGGGACAGTGGCTCACACTTGTAATCCTAGCACTCTGGGAGGACAAGGCCAGAGGATCGCTTAAGCTCAGGAGTTTGAGACCAGCCTGAACAAGAGTGAGATACCGTCTCTACTAAAAACAGAAAAACTACCCAGGCATTGTGGTGGGTACCTGTAGTCCCAGCTACTTGGGAGACTGAGGCAAGAGGATCTCTTAAGCCTAACAGTTTGAGGTTGCTGTGAGGTAAGATGACGCCATGGCACTCTACCCACAGCAAAAGAGTGAGTCTCTGTCTCCA